GTCTACTACAGACTAATTTAAAATTATTTAAAAAATTTTAATTTTAATTTTTTTTTTATATATTTCTTCGGTTTAGAATTTTTCATTATATATTAAGATTTTTAAATATTTTATTTATTGTTATAAATATATTTTTTAAATTTTAATTAAAAAAAATATTTGCTATACTATCTATTAATTATAAATATAGAAAATTTATTCTAATCCAATAAGATAATAATTTCTATTAATTGTAAATTTTATATATATATTTAATTGAAATAATTTATTATTATATTGTTTTTTTTATTAAATAATTTTATATTAAAATATTAAAGACAGGATCTGTAATTTAATTTATATAATTATTATAAAAATTTTTTTAGTTTACTGTTAGTAATAGAAGTTATATTATAATTTTATAATTTATTTATTTATTTTTCAAAAATTAGTTTTTATTTTACTATTTCTATATAAAGACTGATTAGTTTTTATAAAAAAAAAGTTATATATTATTATATATAACTATAAATACTACAGTCAGCTATAGTTTTTTTTATTTTTTTTATTATTTTAATAATTTTTTTAATTTTATTTTATTTTATTTATATACTTAGTCGGATTCTGTTTAGAACTTTTTAATAAGCTATTTTTAATATTACAAAACAAATAGATTATATTTATTAAAATATATCTTAAAATAAAAAAATAACTAAAAAGCTATTTTATCTGTTTATATAAGAATTTTTTATATATATTAAATTAATACTAGTTTAGTAGGTAGCGTGCGAGATCTTAAACACCAACTGGTGTCTGAAGCTGAGCTCTATATCAGGACCTTGGTCCCAGAATATCTTTTTACTGAAAATTATTCCTTAGCTTTATACTTATATAATATAATTTTAATTTATACTGTATAAATTATGCAAATTTTACTTCGAAATCTTAATATTCGAATAATAAATTAACTACTATATAGTCTGGGGTTGGATTTGATTAAGATTTAATAAGCCTTATTTAAACAACAGATCTATAAAATTATTTAGATTAAAAGAAATAAGCAATATAATTGAAATATTTATACGGCTTATTTAAGTAACTAAAAAGATATAGTAAATAATAATAAATAATAATCAATAATAAAAATAATAAATAATATAATTATACGTCTCTTCGAGACTATATATTACCGTATTGAAGCTGTTATAAAACGAATAATTAATATATAAGATATTATCAACTTAGCTGTAGTGGCCTTTGCTGGCAGAATTAGAGTATAACTAGTTCTAGAAAGAAGACGAACTTCTTATAGAGGAAATACGCAGACTACTTTCGCAGGACTGTGTTGACCAAATTTCGATCAAACCAGGGTTCAGTACTGACATCAAAAACCTCATCCACCCATGAAAGGATGAAGCATTATGAAACCATCCACTCTCCGTAAACGACGGCATACGTGTAACAGACGGCTAAAGAACATGCGTACGTATGATTCCCAGGAGAGGGAGTGAGAGAATAGAGGAGAGAAGGTAACGTGTAACCCTTGTCCACGATATGGGAAGATCACCGTCTTCAAACTAAAGAAAGCGCACCTTCCAAAAGCGGCCACAGTATTGAGGCCTTAGTACTGTGATAAAAGCAGTCTTTTCATGAAGAGGAATATGCGAGACAGCCACAGTGATTACAGTGGTATTCTAGAGTACCAATGACAAGTCCAGTCCATTATAGGTAAAGAGATAGATCACTATTTCCCTAGAATATTTCAGGACTAAAGCCTAATAGTATTCGCACTGAAATTCTTTGCTCAGGGCTGTGCTCATGACGAGGATGCCCGCGAGGAACATGTGATCATAGTCAGGCTTACGTGAAATCGATGAGAGTATACTTCAGAAAGCCAGCAATACTTGCAAGGATTGAATAACTGGATATCGGCGGTGGCAGTGGGTATATAAGCCAAAATGTTAGCCCGTTGACTGAAGCTCGCTGCAATATTGAAGATCGGGGTTGTCGTTATTGATGCACTGTTGAGACTACAATTTTTGAACTCATTTTTGTCATGATTGAAATAGTCACAGGGTTAACTTCAGATGACAGAGGGAAACAGCATCTATGATCGGCGAGTATCAAAAATTTAAACGCTTTCAAGAACCGTTTCCTTGAACTCCCTCTCAACCTTGTGACCCTTGTCATCGGTCGTAGACTCTCCGTGCAGGTTAAGCAGCGCACCGAGGTCGAACTTGGGGGACTTGAGAAGCTTGACCTTGCGGATGTGGACCTAGTGCCTGGTTAGTAGTCTGACAATATTAGATATCCGTGTCGCTAGACTAACGTTCTGCAGAGGATAGATGCCCTGGGTGGACTTCTCAATCTCACGGCCGATAACCTCGGGAATTAGCTTGGTGGTAAGCTGGGCGAGAGAGCAGCTGGCAGCTTCGCGCTGAATGATCTCGGTCATCTTCTTGCGGATAGCACGGATCTGGGAGGAGCGAGCGTATGTGGTCTTCTTAATCTGGTTGGGGCGTCTCTTGGTGAAGGCAATGGCGAACAGACGAAGGAGATAGTCGTCGGTGGTCTTAACGGTGACATTGGCCTCGATCAAAGACTGCCACTTGCGCACCAGGGAACGGAGCTTGTCGGTGGTGAAATCCAATCCGTGGAAGTTGGTCAAGCAGTTCTTGCCCTGGATTTCGTCGACACGGAGCTTGACCTTGCGGAAGGCGTGATCCTCATCGTTCTGCAGGTCGGCAAGGGAGACCTCGACGATCCGGCCCTTCAAAGAGTCGTTGGCGTTCTTCAGACCGCTGGTGCGGTTGACCAGAGTCTTTCCAACACTTTATTATAAAAGCTTGTTAGCGTGATTGTCGTATACCCAAGGCCAAGAGGTAAATGTTGCACGAGATAATGTCATAAACGGAACGTTGGGGTCGCTGCATACTCTCTGATTTGGAAAGTTGAAGGAGCCTAATTGCGATCAGTTGAAGCCAGAGCGCTACTATTCGATGCAAAATAACTCTACCTTCAAGGAGTACTCGTCCTTTCTGGAGAAGGGATCAACGGTCCTCTTCTTGATGCCCTTCTTGCCCTTCGACAAGCGCTTGTTCCTACCAAGCGATCAGTTACTGAACGTTCAAAATGGTAGTCTGATGTTCGCTAGGTTGAAAGGGGAGGTATAATTTCGCATACTTTCCGACGGCCATTATTGCGACTCAGGTCTATCCCGCAACAGTTGAAGACAGACTGAAATATCACACCAAGCGCACTGGTGGAGGGAGTCGATTCGATTGTCGCTGGCTTGCTGCTCAATCGCGGAAAAGTGTAGAAATCCAAATCCCACAGAAAAGTCAGCTAAGCGAGCCGTCGGCCCTACCACCAAATTACATAATATGCTTCCCCACAAATATACTGTCTTAAGGCATTATGATTGGCTCCCATCGGTCAAGCACGCGTGACTCTGAATCCATTTTCCATAGATCTATAATAAGTTGTTGTTGGAATAGTTCGATACAGCATGTAGTCTGTTGCAAAGTTCTGTCTATGCTATCTGCAAATGCAGGCTCTAGGCTCCTCTCTTCAAATCCGCAAGTAGTCCCTCACAAATCGTGTATATCTATCAAGATCGGCAAATTGGACAGGATGCAATCTTTCAGTGTTCTGTCTCCTATAGTCATGTTTAAAGATTTATCCCAATGGGACGCCAATTGGGCGGGGTAATACAGAATATGCAGAGTCCTCGGTGTAAGCAGGGTCACTGTCACTTGCTGTTAGGATGTACAGCATGGACATGCGAAGTAACCTTTATTAATATTCTAAGACTTTACTTAGTATTCGCATTTCCCGCAAAGAGAAAAACTACTTAAGTGCCTGGAAATACAGAATGCTGATTCGCAACTCCCCACCGCTTTCGTTGGATGATATTATATGTACCGCAAGGAATATTTATCGGGAAATGTGTATTTGTAGAGAGTACTCCGTACTCCGTACTTTCTTCCTTGCCAGCTGCATCTGTATTTCCAACTTTACGGAAAATTTACATATGGGCAAGTGGTCCGGGTGCTGACATCAGATTACCGACGGCCCGTGACCATGAACTCAACAGGATTAGAGTGTTCATACTTTCTGGCCTCGCACCTTCATAGATCACGATAGTTTGAATCATGGTATGTTGTCTGATTTCTTGGTAGTAATGGCGATAATTCTAATGCTCGGTTTGCAATTTAGGGTAAGCGAAAGAAGTCGAGCAGGCAGCCCCAACAAACACGAAAGGTGATTGATGCACTGAGTACCTATGACTCTCACTGTTTATTGACTCGCGACAGAAAGAACCACTGCCCACCACATTTGCATGTCTGTTTTGCAACCACGAGAACTCGATCATAGTAAAACTGGACAAGAAGCTTGGTCTGGGAAACCTCACTTGCAAAGTGTGCGGGCAACGATTTCAGACAGGAATCAATTGTGAGTCCGCCTTCCCCGGATCATGTTCGAGGATGTCGCCTGCTCATCTCACGCTCTAGACCTCTCTGCCGCCGTTGACGTGTACTCGGACTGGGTGGATGCTTGTGATGCGGTTGCCAAAGACACTGCCCATAGATACGAAGAAAATGATGCCCGCGCCGGACACACAAATGACTTCAGTGCTTCACCTAGTGCTCGAAACCTGAATACCGATGATGTGGATCCTGGTGAAGAATATGCTGATGATTACTGACGTGCCTGCGACAATTGGCGGGGAGTAAGAACCAGATCTTCCTTGCTCTGGTTTAAAAACTCCAGTGATGCCTACATACCGCTAGATTGAGTGTAATAAAAGTAATGTCATTTAAAGAAGATCCCCTCATGACCATCCCCATGCACCTGACAATCTCTTACAAGTACCAATATCGATCTAAAGTGTATAGTATCTATCACCGAAGTCACCCAGCCCCGGGATAATATATCTAGCGGTGGTGGTCAGCCGGTCCCACCTTTCATACTGTGGACAATGCGCGACACTTACTTTTTCTCATCCAAACCCTGATCTATAAATGCAGTTACTACCCTGAGCTTGGGAAATCGTTCTGCGAAATCCGCGACTCCCGATGGACTTGCAATAAGATTGAGAAAGAGTATGCGATCTTCAGGAACACCTTTTGCCTTGAGAACTTCGACCGCAAGCGTTGCAGAGCCGCCTAGGAACAATTAGGTCGAGCCAGCCATGTCAGTGTGTTGCGACTTACCGGTTGCGAACATTGGATCTAGAAGGAGTACCCATCGATTGCGAATATCAGTTGGAAGCTTCTCATAGAAAAGCTTTGGTTTGCAGGTCTCCTCATCCCTTTGGATCAGGATTTTGCCGATACGCACAGATCGGCAGCAGTCCCTCAAGCCTTGCTCCATGGCTTCCCCTGCCCTCATTATCGAAACGCCGCATATTTTGCCTTCAAATTTAACTCCGAGGTAAACCCTGCCTACTGGTGTGGTAACCGATTGCTCGACTACTGGTAAATGGTTGAGACCTTCCTCGACTAGGAGGCGGATGATTCTGTTAGAATAGAATATGAAGTCGGCACGACAAGTTTGTTTGTCTCTGATCATGCTGTCAAGAGGATTAGCACATCATAGTACAGGACGGAGGCGATGCTCCAAAAGAAAGTTTGTATGTTTATGCCATTTCTTACGTCAGAAGAGCAATCAATTGAGGGGTCTGGGGAAGGACATGGACATTCTCGTAGGATATATCCTTGGAGACTGTTGCTGTAGGCTTTTCGTCCTCTGGTCTGTAGAACGGTCCAACACCTTGTGCGGGAGAAGGTAGAGGTTCGAAATTGTTCTTATGATCCATGATTCAAGGCTTGCCTATGATAATCTTGGGATAAAGGCAGAGAGGATGGAGGCGGGCAGGAGGGAGGAGGGGCAATGAGGAACTGGTTCTAATGTCTGTGCTCCGGACTATCTGCTGAAGTCGCAGTCAGACAGCAGAGCCATATTTTACTAAGACTAGTTTCAATACTCTATGTGCAAACCTAATGTCTTTCTCAATGAGAAAATAAATTCTGAGAGCAAGTAATATGAGATGCGTCTTTATATTTGTCATAGCTGAATTATCCAGGTGATAATTATCAACTCGAGTAAGAAAGGGAGCCGCTACATCCACACAGGCTTTGTATAAGAGCCCTGCTGGCTCTTCCAACCTTCGCAATTACTGCAAAGAAAAATAATCGGAAGCCGTGGGCAACAGTTATAATATAGCTAAATAAACGGCCGCAGCCATCTATAAAAGCAGTACGGAGCCGTGTTCCAAAAGTGATTGAACTGCGCTAATTATCTTAGCAGTAATCAATATATCGGCTTGTTATCAGCTACTATCAGCTCCTACAAAAATTAATATAATGTATTATTTTTATTATTATTAGAAATGTTGCATCAAATTCTATGGTTTTTAATCATTTTTATCAAAAATATAAAGCCCATTAAACTGTAATTGAAAATTCCAGCAAATGTTACAGAAAGAATAGTTGTGACGAATTATCCTTAATCAAAATCGTCAAGAAGAAGAATGTTTGGAAAAAGCAAACTATTCTAAAGAATATTTAAAGATAAAAACTGATGGTAGAATTAATTGTGTTAGGAACTATATAAAGGAAAATAGGTCAGTTAGGTATAGAATAGTAGCAGTCTATTGATTTTAAGACTAATTCTTACTATTCTGAAGATCTAATAAGGCCTTAGAAGTTAGGTATTAAGAAATTAAAAATTATTAATATTAAGACTTTTATATAAAAATATAAAAATAAATTAAATTTTGATTTATTATTTTTCTAAATTATTTATAATAATTCGATTTTTTATATACAGCTGTTCCAACCGTAGAAAATAATATAATAATATTATTTTGATAAATAAATTTATTTATTTAATAGATATAATAGTAATAAATAGAGTTTAATTAAGACTAATCTTAGCTAAATATAATTATTATAATGCAATATTATTTTATCTTAAAAATACTATTAATAATAATAATAATATCAATAATATAAATATACTTTTATATATCTTTTTCAATATTTTTAATATTTTTAATATTATTTATCTTATACTAAAAACGTATATTTTCTATTATTTATATCTATTTATTTATTCTAATATATATTTAGTATATATATTTTATCCTTTTTTAATAATATTAATATATTAATAAATTACTATAAATCTGTCTATAAATTAAAATATTTATATTATTAATTTTTATTTCTTTATTAAGTTTTTTTATTTTAAAGTGATTTTCTGTTTAAAATATTTAAAAATCTTAATAAAAGATTATAAATAAATTTAGAAGAAAAATCTGAGTTAGATTATATTTTTAATATAATTTTATTTATAAACATTCTTAGTATATACAATAAAAGCTTTATTTTTCTATAAATAATTTTTTTGTAATTATTTTTCTATAAATAATTTTTTTAAATAGATTTAGACATTAGATAAACAGCTATGAAAAATATTATGGAAATATAAAAGATTTTATTATAATTTTATATCAAATAATTAAATTTTTAGAATATTAATTTAG